GTCATGTTAAACTTATATTAAAGTTTTTCTTCATTACCCATTTAAGCCGTCTCCAGCCATTATTACTTAATCTATGTCTAGATGTCATCAGTGATTGATGAAGATAGTTACAGTGCCAACCAAAAATTATATAGTAATTAAGAAGGTGTGTTAAAAGTTACATTGTCTGAAAATTTATTCTGTCCAGATATTCTTTATCACGTAACATATCGAGTATTTTTCAGAAATCACTGAGAGACTAGCTCTTGTGAATTTATCGTGAAGTTTATAAAACGTATTTTGTACTACATGAATAATGGATCAGATAACGACTTTATTATCTTAATTATTTATAAGAATAATGCTTAAGCGTAGTTTTTGTTGATTCTATTATCTAAAACAATTACCTGCATACTAATATTTTACATAAATAACACATAGAGAAGAACGAATGTGAATAAGGTGTAAAATTCCATCAATTATTTATGTTTATTTAATGTGTAATCGTTAGATAAATTTGTGTTTCATAAATTAAATAATTCTTTCACTACATATATATATATTGTAGTTTTGTAGGATGTTTCAAAATCAATTTACATTTAGTTTGAGATCAGTTACTTTCAAGACAAGGTGTATTTCTGCTATTTGTCATCAGTATCAGTAACCCACTGTCACGTATACTCACTGACTTATTATGTTCGTGATACAATTTTCATTCTAATTTTCCAAAAAGCTGACGTGTATATATATATATATATATGTGTGTGTGTGTGTGTGTGTGTTTCGTGTGTTGTTATGTTGTTATTGTGTTTTTTAGGCTGAAGCTTATATTTTCCTGCATGATGGAGATGGAACGTTACCCGTTGGATACTCAAGTCTGCGATATTGAACTGGCTTCTTGTAGGTTCTGTCAACTAAAACAGTGAATCTGTATTTGATATATTTACATATAGCTTTCAGTTGGAATGTGAAAACTGTTCTTAAACATTTATTAGAACATAACTGAAGAAAAGGACAGATTAAATGTTGGTAAATTGGCCAGTGAAGAAGAAACGGTATATCATTAAAGAAGAGGATTACTTTTAAAAAAAGGGAAACGATTTAAAGGTCTTTTTTTAAAAAAATAGTACATTTTACACTTAAAAGATGTTTAAAATTACAATAAGAAAAAAATGAAACTTCAGACTGGATAAATGTAATTGAACATCATTTAAAATTATGGATGTCTGCATCAAAAACGAGATGAGAGCTACGTGAAACAGAGGAGTAACTTTTATATTGAAAACTAAAGTACAATTGACACTACAATAAAAGACATATCTTTTATTTCAGAAAAACATAATTAAATATGTTGTAGAAAGAAAACTAACTTTTACACTTAAAAGTAGTTTGAAAATCACATTAAAAACTAGAAATTATCTTTCACCTTAACAGAGTGAAGAAAAAGACTGATTTTCACATTGTAAAGTAAATTAAAATTTATAGTGAAAAACCGAATTTAACACGACATTAAAGAGAATGTCTAGATTTTAGATTTAACAAATGCTTTCAAAGTAACACGAGAAACGGTGATCTTTCAAATTCATAATGAGATTTAAAATAATTTAAAAGAAACTTCCTAGTTTTTCATGGCAAAGGGACAAACATTTTGCTTAGAAACACATTATTTTTCACCCTAAAAGTTACTCTGAAGAAAAAAAAGAAACATTTCTTTACTTGAAATCTTAATGTAATTTAAGATTCGCTGCTTAGTGCTTCAAAAACTCTACACTTTGGGGTCGTATGTGTTCTGTGAAACTGCAGTAAGTAGCTGAAAAGATGGAATTTGGTGCACTTTGCTGGCTGCCTTCCCTCTAATCTATCAATTCCAAATTATGGCCGGCTATTCGTAGATAACCCTTCGTATAGTTTTGGCGAAATTTCTGAAACAAACTTCAAACACAGAAAAAAAAAGGATTATAAAAACAAAACTAATTTTCTCATTAAACTAATTTGAAACTAACTTTAAATCAAAATACCAACTTGACATTGATACATATAAGAATAAAATCCTAAGCTGATGAAAATAACAAGCTTTCACATAGAAAAATCGATAAAAATATACATTACTAAGAATCAGATTAAAAGTCATGTTAAGGAAAACTTATAACTTTACACTGAAATGAATGAAAAGTCACGTAACAAAACTGACTTTCTTTAAAACTGCGTAACGTAGAACCAAGTTTTTGTTTTTGAATTTCACGCAAAACTACTCGAGGGATATCTACGCTAGCCGTCCATAATTGTGAAGTGATAGACTAGAGGGAAGGCAGCTAGTCAAAATTACCCACCGCCAACTCTTGGAACACTCTTTTATCGACGAAAAGTGAAACTGATCATAACTTCACAATGCCCCCACTGATGAAAGGGCAAGCATGCTCGTTGACGAGATTCGTACTAGCGACACGCAGGTTGTGAGTCGAACGCCATAATCACTAGATCATGCTAAGCCCCCATAAACATGTCTGAAAACCTAGAAAAACCGCTTTAGACGTTTGTTCCTTGTTTTGGTCTCATAGTAGGAGGAACATTTTGTTCTCAATAGCTAGTTAACTAGTCTAATTACT